CCCACCCCTTCCTTCAGGGCCAGCTCTCTCCACCAGAAAGCCTTCCCTGGGTGTGTCCGCCCGCACAAGCTCCACCTTCTCCAGGGTACCCTGGCACACATCACCAGGACCGTTTTCGTTTGGTTGGGTCATGCCCTTGTGTGGCTACTCAGCTCATTGTTTACCCAAACAATGCTTGAGCTCTCTACAGAGAGCAAGTGAGCCTCCTTCTCGCAAGCCTACCCTCACTGCCCTCTGCAGGTCTGGGCAGAGCAGTCACTCCATAGAGACCATATAGACGTTTATTTGGAGATGTGGTCTTTTTAGGGGGGACCCAAGCAGACTGCAGCTCTGTTTTCAGCTTGTTCTCAACCTAACCTTGGAGAACAAGATGCTTCTTGTCCTCCTAGCCCTAAGGCCAGGCCAGCACCCAGCTCGCTAGCCATCTACCACCTTCTGCATCCTGTCTTCACAAGGGCCCCTCTCTCCTCAAGGCTGCTACCCCCATCACAGATAATCACACGAAACTTGGATGGTTTTCTGTTTTCTTGAATATAGAACTCCTTAGGCCTGGAAGACATTTAACCATCTGTTGCCGTTTGCTGTTCTGGGGCTTTTTACTTGGTATGACTTTACTTGATCTAACTAAACAGTAGGTTCTTCCCAAGCCTGTTCTTTGCTGCTTCCAGTGGGAGATTGGAGGGCTGGATGAATGCAAGAATGACTGAGTGATGATGCCTCCAAGCCAAGCCAAGCAACCTTGGAAAGCTAAACGGTGGTGTGTGTCCTAAGCTGCTTTTCTCATCCTGAGTTCTGAGCTCCTTCTGGCAGAGTCTGCCCCGCAGCTGCCCATCCTTAGGACCCAGATGAATTAATACAGCATTGACCCTCCCCCCAAAATCAGATTAGCCTTTAGTGTCTAGAAACTCCATCCTGATGACCTGTGTGCCCATGCCTGTCAAGAGGGGCCGCAGAAGAGGAGGAGGAGGGACCTGATTACTGGGTTCCTGCCCTCTGCCAGTTCACAATCTAGATGGAAAGAGAAAATTCAGACGCAGGAGAGCCAGAGCAGGTCTGAGGATGTGTGGCCATGCCCAGGGTTGTGGAATGTGGATCAGTGGCTGCTGGAAGGCAGCGAGTGATGGTGGCTCAGCTAGAGGGAAGCTGAGCACAGAGGGCTTCCTCCCTTCTTGAGGAGAAGGAGCAAAGGGAAGTGAGGAGCAGGAGGCAATGGCAAGGCCTGTATAGCTACACAACCTGAGCCAAGATCCACACCACACAGGGCTTCCTGACATCCCCCAAAATGAATCAGCAACAAAATGTAAACACCAAGCACACAGAGAAAATTAGAAGCAATTGTTTCCAGCTCTCACTTGCATTTGCCAGCCTTCTCCTTCTCGGTGGATTGAATAATTGTGGCCTTCAAGTGGCACTTGGAAAAAAAGTTTTAAATCTGTTTAAATGTCACAGTAATACTTTGTCCCCGTCTTTCCCTAATTATATTTCTCTTTGATGATCTAAGGTTTAAAAAAAAATAGCTCAAGTCTTTCTAGAATATCAAGGACGAGGATACAAAAGAGCCAACCTAACTGTGTTCCGTACAATTTTCTCAGGGGTCCTGCTTCTTTGTTGCATTAGTTAGAGTCACCTGTATGTATTATTCTATCCTCAACACTCTGCTGAGACAGAGAGGCGGGAGCCAACGAGATCCAGCTCTGTACCTTTAAGAAATCAATGCTTTAGCAGAAGCTGCTTCTGCTGCTGTTTACACAGGGTAGCTCAGTTTTATGGGCCTGGTGTCCAGGTTGCTTCTGCCCCAGCAAGCTGCGGGGAGTTGGGGCATTTCGCCAAACACCTGCTGGGAAGCTGTGAGGCGAGGAATGTGTTACCCCTTAGGGGAGACAGTCCAAAACCAAAATAAGCCATCCTCAGGTGGGAGAGATGGGAGGGTGAGGAAACTTCGTCTAAGGAGGGAGCTCTCCACAGCTTTGCGTCCATATGTGGGAAGACACAGGCAGGGGGTCATGGTGTAGGGGGCAGAGGCAGAATCCTGGAGGGAGTTGGCGCTATACTATATGGAGTTTTCACAGGCATTTGAAATAACCAGATGCCCCCTTTCGTTAACAACTCCCACCCACTCCTGCCCAGTAACTGCTTTTATTCATGTATTGGCTATTATTACCAATAATACTATGAATAATGAAACACCCATGAATAATTTACTTGAAAGGGGGCCTAGGGTGATGGCAGGGAGAGTGGAGTGTGAACCTCGCCCACCCTCCCCTGCCCCATTCAGCTGGCTTTCTTCACTTCCCCTTGTTCTTGCTTCACTTTGAGCAGGTGAGGGGCAGGGAGAGAAACAGGAGAGACCTTAGGTAGGAATTATTCTCCTAAGCTCCCCTGTTATGGCAGAAAATATATTCTGCCACTTCCATTGTGAAATCTTGGGTGGTGGGTGCCTGTGCCACAAGATGATGTTGGAGGAGATGTTTTGGACAAAGTTGTTGGCCTCTGCTGATGTGTCCTGAGGGAAAGGGGAGGAAGAGGTCTCAGCCTGGTGGGCGCACGCACACACACACGCACACACGCACGCGCGCGCGCACACACACACGGGCAGAGTGTGCATACAAATAGGGTCTATGTACACATCCACACAAACACCCACAGTCCTGACAACACATATACACAAACTTCCAAGCCACACGCTCAGACCCTCCATGTGCCTACTAGGGACATGCTCCGCATTACAGCACTTCACAGGCACACCAAGCACACAGCCACATGGCAAAGAGGCTCTCTGTGTGAGTTTCTGTTTGATTCCATCAACTTGGGTGATTCTTAGGCCATCATAATGTAATGGATAATGTAAGCCTGGGAACCAAGTTATGAATTAACTATACTTACACACGCTTACATCAAGCAAAAGCAGGATAATCCTAAAATGAAAGGATGAAGTTCCACAGTTCTCAGAATTGTACTTGCTGTGGTTTGAGCCCAGGATCCTCCGGGATAGGGGTCCCAGGTGGGCCCTGGGCCTGGGGCTGCAAACCTCAGGGCCTCCTCAGGCCTCCTCCCAGCGCTGGAGAGCTCCGCGTTGTGGTTGTACCAAACGGGCTTGGTCTCTAGCTTTCCAGGCAGCTGGGGTTTCATTTCTTTAAATAAAATTTTAAACATATCGTCTAGTAACGTCATGTAATCCGAAGGCAAGAAAAGCGAAACCCATAACACTTGAAAGGGGTGGTGGGGGACCGACCAGGGTCAGGCCAGCAGCTCTACTCCGCAACCCGCGGGGGAGCGGCGCGTTATTTTAATTTGCCGGCTTCCAAAGCCCAGAAGAGGCCGCCCTGGCAAAGCAACTGTGGAAGAGGATGGGGTGCAGGTAAATATCATTAAAACGAAAATCTGCTCTCCCGACCCAAGTTCACCACCAGCATTCGCCCCCAGAGGCGGGGCTGCTTGGACCCGGCTCCCGCACCGGCCACTCCCTTTCCCGCTCAGCCGATGTTCCGGCCCCCGCGGGCCTGGCGGGGAAGCCAGCGAGGCCGGGCTGGGCGGCCGGACTCTGGGCTCTCGCCCGCAGACGCGACTCCCACCCTCGCGCTTCTGGAGCGGGATGTGCAGCGAACCAAGCCTGTGGGGGGCAGCGTACCGCGCGCCAGTCTGGGTCCGGCTGCAGCCCGGGGAGCGACTGGGGCTTTATTTCTTTGATAGTAGATTAAGAAAAAAAAATTTTTTCAAATTGAACCCGTAAAGCAGACATGGGCAAAAATCAAGCTGGTCCCTCGCACTGGCCACCGCGCCCGGAGCCTGCCACCTTCCCCGGCGGGCGAGCGGGCCGAGGCTCCCGTCTCCTACCTTCCTCCCGCCAGCCGCCTGCGGGACCAGCGCCGCTCTTCAGGGCGGGGGGAGGCCGTCCCGGACGGAAATACCCACCTCCAGCCTTCGCAGGCGGTCCGGGACGAGGGTCGCGCCCGGAATCAATACGCCCCGTCCCCCCAGCGCAACCCAACCGCTCCCCAGTCCCGTCCTCCCAGGTGGCTCGGGGAGCGGTAGATGCCGTGCAGGAGGACGAAGGTTTGGGGCTGCTCTGGCAGGTTGGGGATGCGAGGAAGAAATAAAGCAGAGACGGAGAGACAGCGCGCGTGAGCGCGCGCGAAAGAGAGCTCTTGTCTATAGATTTATCCACATAATATATATTTATGTAGCGTTTTTTCTCTCGACACTGATCAATGCGCACTCGGATCGCTGAGCGGACTCCCTCCAAGCCGGCTCGCTTTTTCTAGTCTAAGTAAATAAATAAAGGGAACCAGATGGGAGAGAAAAGCGCCCATTCCACCGCCGCCTTCGCCGCCGCCCCGCCCGCCATCCCGGCCTTTGCTTCGTCCGCCTGGAGCCCTCATGGAGCGCAGCTCCGTGGATTACGCCCCCCTACATACCCACACAAAATAGAAAACCTATGTTTTTAAAATATAAAAAGTTTCACCTGCTGCTATAACAAAAAGACCCCCCCCCCCGAAAAGGCAAAGAGGAGGCCAGCAACCCGATTCCTAACAGGCACCCGCTCTTCGCGGCTGCCGCGCCGGAATCTCAGCGCCTCCCGAAGAGCCATGCGCCTGGCGCTATTTATAGCCGGGGGCCGTCTCGGACTGTACCACCGACGCTCGCCGGGGCCGCCGACGGGGGAGGCGCGCGGGGCCGGCGCCGCCCCACGCTGTCCTGCTCCCGGCCGCCGCCCGCCGTCGTGCGGGAGCCCCCCGCCATCGTGCCCTCTTCGGTCCCCGCGACCCCTCCTTCGCGCGCGCCCTCGCTGCCCCCACCCCTGGTCTGACTGGGAACTTGAACCGGTCCAGCCTGTTTAAACGGAAAGGACAGAGATCCTGTCTGTTCAATGTAAAAAAAAAAAAAAAATCAGATCAGACCGAAAGAGAGAGAGGGAGAGAGAGAAGAGAAGAGAGGAGAGGGAGGGGGGAGAGGAGAGAGAGCGCGAGCGCGAGCGAGCGAGAGAAGAGAGAAAGAGAGCAGAGAGCGAGAGGAGAGCGAGATACAGAGAAACCGAGGGGGAGAGAACCCGAGTGTGTGTATGCGTGTGCGTGTGTGAGCGCGAGCGAGCTTGCGAGGGAGAGGAGCGAGAGAGTGCGAGCGAGAAAGAATAAAAGGAAAGAAGATTTTCTCTATGTATATAAAGATGGCCACGTTAGCAAACGGACAGGCTGACAACGCGAGCCTCAGTACCAACGGGCTCGGTAGCAGCCCGGGCAGCGCTGGGCACATGAACGGATTAAGCCACAGCCCGGGGAACCCGTCGACCATTCCCATGAAGGACCACGATGCCATCAAGCTGTTCATTGGGCAGATCCCCCGCAACCTGGATGAGAAGGACCTCAAGCCCCTCTTCGAGGAGTTCGGCAAGATCTACGAGCTTACGGTTCTGAAGGACAGGTTCACAGGCATGCACAAAGGTGAGTGCACCTTTCCCTCCCAACTTTGCTGGGGAGAAGGAGCTGGCGGGCGGACCGGCCGGCAGGCGACGGACTAGCGAGAGACGGCGCGAGAGGGAGCCTCGGGCGGACGCCGAGGAGGGAGGCGCTCGGGCAGCGGAGACCAGGACTGGGTGCGTGGGGAGCTGTTCGCTGGGGCAAGACTGGGTTTGGGGCGAGTAGCTGATAGAAGCGGTGCCGTGGGGAGAGCAGTAGGAGCAGAAGATGAAGAGAAAGACAGAGAGGATCGAGGAGAAATTGGGCTTGAATTTTTGGGTACAGCGACTTAAATGACTGGGACAGGGACATCTGCACCGGCCGAGTCCGGGACGTTGAGCAGACTGGCAGGCGCTCAGCCGGCCAGGGATCGAGGTGCTGTCCATCGCCGTGGTGCTGAAAATACTAAAAGGAGATGGTCCCCCTTCTCCGCTCCGGGCCAGAGTAGCAGGAGCGCAGCCGTCTAAAAAGGAGAGAGGTGACAAATTCAAAGAGATATTTTTATTTCGCTATCAATATAACAGAAAACTCTCCCTGTAGATATGTGTGCCTCAGTAATCCGGTTGTGGCGTGGGGGAGGGGGGTTGGATGTTTGAAGGAAGGAGGGACAAAACCTAAGGCAAGAATTTGCAAGGAACCAGCCATCCCCTGGGTGGAGTGGGGAGTCGGGGAAGCCTGAATGATCCCCTTTTCAGGAAAGTGGAGCTTTGGGGCGGGGGGAATCTGTGTTTGCAAGATATGCATTTTAAAAGGTATAGCCTAAATTACCCCAAACTCACCATGCAGAAAGGTTTATAGTACATTATTTCTCTCCCTTGAAGCAGTCATTGCTAGTGAACACTTGGGGGAGGGGGAGACAGAATAATCAAAGAATTAAAACCCAGCAACTTTTTAGGAAAGTGGTCGTGGGAATTGTCTGCAGCCTGCCTGTTTTCTCCTTGTTTTATTATCTTTAAGGCAGAGCCCCAAATGTGTTCAGTTGTAGAACGTGTGTGGGTGGCTGGTGGGTGACGAAATTAGCCCAATGCTCCGCTCTCTAACAGTAATGTATAGGATGTGCAACGGGGATTAATCGGGGCTGGAGCTGTGTGGGCAAGTTAAATGTTTTCTGAGAGAGATTGATCGTCAGGCACGGAAGGAGCACCGGGCTATGGAAGTTGTAAGGGATGTGTATGGACATTCTGTTTTTAATAAACAGTAGTGTGGAGAGCCACTGAAGACGCTGGGTTAGAGCTGCTGGTTTTAAGGATGAAAACACACACGCACATGCACACGCACACACACCCACACACAGAGAGCAGCCTCATCCTTGGCCACAAATGGGCTATGAACAGAGCTGATCCTCCAGCACATTAGGTGCAGAGCGCAGAGCTGTCTGGCTCTCTAAGCAGCAGTGGTTTTCACTATCACAACCTCCCTCCTTCTCCAGCCCTCCCTTCAACCGAATACTAAGCACAGCTCCAAACTCTTCATAGTTGGAGTCCCAGAGAGCAGTTTTTATTGGCTTTAGCATCTTCCAGCTTGCCTGCTGAGGAGTAAATCTTAAAGTTAATGGCATGTTGAGTAGTACAGAAATACAGCAGAATGGAAATATACTGAGTTTGTTGAGGTGGGGTGAGGGTGGGGGCTGTAATGGAGAGAGAAACCAACCTTTATTCAACATGGAGAAAATGTCTGTTCAGAAGATAAACTGGAAAGGTGGAATGGGGAGGCAGTGTTCAAAATAATATTTGATTCCTTCCCCCTCTCAAGTCAACCATATCTTTGTAGTTTTTGCCTTTCCAATCAAGCTCCCTAGGAGCTAATCAAGGTTTGTATCAAACCTTTGTCATTCTAATATGTCCCCAGATTTAAAAATAGTAATAATTAAAATTAAAAAGCATGGTTAGGGAAACCCTTTGCCCATCTTAATGGTCAGTTCTTGTGACGATTTAAGATTTTCAAGTTAGAGGAAAAAATCAGAACCCACTAGAGGCAAAAGACAGTTGTGAAGAGCTGAGATTCCTGAGATCTGGGTTGGAGCAGTTTATTGTTTCTTTATTTCAAATGAAGATAAACTTTAACAGTATTCCTTGGTTTCTTCTCATGATCCCTTCTTGCTGGTATCATGACTGTTTCTGATGTTATTTGGACTCCCTTGTATTGTAGCAAGGAAGTAGAATTATCATCATTTGCATAAGTAAGGTAGAGAAGGTTCTGATATATGTAGTCATATCATGTGTATCATATCATAGATATACATACACATATCTGTCCAGGATTCTTAGGACAAGGAAAACTTCATTTTCTAAATAATTCTTCCCCTAAACTGACTCAGTCCGTGGCAGGCAGGCCCGTTGGCTCCAGCATGCTGGGTGCCTCGTTGTCGCAGTTCACCCTTCACAGCCTGAGCATATATTTGCCCTATGAAACTTCCTGTTTCTCCTTCCCTCAGATTTTTACAGGCAAGGTTGGGCCACAATGTCCCTAACAGTGCCTGGAATATCCGGGAAAGCTGAATACATGAATCAGTTTGTGAGGTCTGGTTTCTTCAGTCCTAGAAGAGTTTGAACCCTTCCTTCAGTGATACAGCCTGATTTATTAGCTAATCCTGATAAAATAAGCCTCTGGCCACCTTAAAAAATTACTTGCTTGCAATTGGTGATTAATTACTGTTAAGTCAGAAAGCATGATGAGGCTTGAAGAATAAGGGTTGCATTTGGCTTCTAGATTTTCCCCAACTCTAAATTGACAACATGAGGCTAGGGATAGAAGCATGCCTTTGTTAAGCCTGGTTTCAGGGCATATTTGTGGCTCTTTTTATTCCTTTACTCAAATTTCTAACTTCTAATGAATCATACTGGGATAAAATTGAGAGACATCACAGAATAGTGGCCCCCAGTGTGGATGGCATATGTATAGTATTGGTTCTAAAAAAAAGAAAGAAAGGAAGACAGAAAAGAAAAAGAGAAAAAAAAGAAAGGAAGAAAAGAAAAGTAAAAATTAAATTAAATGCATGAGATTTCAGGTGGATATCCATTTGTTGGCCACCTGCCATTTCAGGTAACTAAAGAAAGAGGGAGTTCCAAGGGTTAATGGAATACCTGCCATGCGTAGAGTGAACCTTAAAAGGCAATTACTCCAGTCAAATTGGGAGTCTGTGGAGGAGGGAGTGGGTGGGTGTTGTGGAGCAGACCTAGCAGTATCAGAGAAAGGCTGTTGGGCTGGGGTGGCAGCAAATAGCAGTTGGGGATGGGGTATTTACTGTAAAGGCAAACTCACCCCCTGGAGACCAGAAAGCAATTGGGCAGGGGGAGACCTGGGTGCTAGGCAGAGAAGGAAAGGGGGGGAAAATACAAAAAGCCCAGAATTACAATGTGAAGAAACAACACCTAAATAAGGAAACCCAGTTTAATGCCACTTCTCACGGCTAACTCTGAGTCCTCTTTTTTATCCCATTAGAAGCACTTTGAGAAAGATTGTTTTCCCAGGCTCCAGAGAGAAAGACATTTGTACTATTGATTAACGAGGAGAGAGGCAAACTCCTGGGGTAGCAGCAGAAGTGAGCGAAGGACCAATTTTGCCCCTTCCGATAGAATTTTTCTCCCTTGGAGAAGGGAACAGGTCACCCTTTGGTCTAGTTCTTCCTTTCTGTCACTTTTTATTTATTTCTCTTTTCCTTGTTTTTATTTCCTGCAGAACAATCAGAGGCAGTGGCTTAAAATACACACACACACACACACAAACACGCATACATACACAGTGGATCACACACGAACAAGCCTGCAATCCATTCATAACTTTGGTGTTATCTAGCAGGATAGGAGGCAGCAAAGACTGAGTTACTGGAAGACATAAAGACTAGTGCTCTCTGGATAGCCATATTATAATGCATTATCTTTGAAGTCATTTAAGTCCAATTTAAGTGGTATTTAGTATAATATTTATGAATTAATGTAATCTAAACATAGGGCTGTCCCCAAAGGTTTAAACAGCCTTTACTACTGATATGTGCTTGTTCCCAGAGCCTGCAATGCCTTTTAATATAAACAGCCAAGTCCACAATACAGTCCCCCTTGTTAACCAGTCAGAACACATCTGTGGCCTGGGTAACCACTCTGCATTGAGATTCCCACCCGACCCCACCCCACCCCACCCCCAGCTGCATGGAGGAAAATCTACTCTACTGACAACCCCAGGGGCTCCCAACCCAGGAGCTACAGCTGCAGGAACTTCAGCCCCTCATACTTTGACACTACATCCAGGGACACGGTGGAGACAGAGTAATGGGACCTTCTGTGCATCGAGCACTGGAGAGTATATCATTTTAAAATATACTCATCACCAGACGCACAGCCTCTCATTTCAATGGTACCTGGGTAGGAAATGCCTGCAGCCCCATGATTTGGGATGCATCTGGGAGAAAGGGAAAAGGGCAAGGGTTATGATTATGTTTTGGTGATTTGTGACCATCTTCATAAAATTGTCTTGTATTTTCATGTAAGATGTAACAATTCTCAGAACACTGAGTTTCCACCACTTGACTTGAGCCAAGAGGACTCGTGTTTTTTTTGTGTGTTTTTTTCCTGAGATAGGTGAATTAAAGCCAGTGAGGCCCTATCTGATTTCCGTTTTCAAATGAGTCTGAGAGACAGTGAAGCTGAAGCATCAGCATGGGCATATGTTCAATTAAGATGAGCTTTTTTCCAAAAAAAAAATTACTTTGAAAAATAAAAATTCATTTCTGTCCAGGGAAAGACACTGGTAGAATGAATGGCTGAGCACACACCTATAGTTTTTCAAAGAAAGATATGCCTTGTGAGAAAGAGATATGGAAAATGGGGTAGCTGTAGTAAGAAAAGGAAAAAAAGATTTAAAAACAATAAGTTTCATGAAAGAAAATGAGCAATAGTTGTCATTACAAAACTAAAGTAAACCAAAGCAACAGCCCCCATTAAAAAAAAAAAACTTTCAAATTCCAGATGTTGATAAGTATCCCATTTAGG